AGCCTTTTAGGGAACGATCTCAAACAGGCATCCACTGTAAGATTTATGTGCAGCAAAATGGGTCTGTACTAGGTATATATCAAAATACAGTTTGATTGTTTGTATTTTTACATAACATGCTGTAGAATGTGTCAGCCATTAGTAATTAAGGTTATTACAGGATGGGAATGATAACTGGAAATACTCCTACATCTTTTCTTATGTTAAGCTACATGCCCTGTGAAAATCTATTAATTTTACAACAAATTGGTAGTATAGATACATTGGTTGGGTATATGCCTTCCTTATTAGATTCTACACTGCTGATCTTTTTTCCATTAATTACTACTCTCAGATTCAGAACACCTCAACTTCATATTCTTCCCCCATCCCCCAAAAGTGACAAGATACTGACCTAGATTTCCACAGGAGTGGACTCTTGTTCAACACTTATTTTCAAGGCTGAGACATGTTTTTAATGTTGCCACATGCACTTGCAACCAGATTAACTGATATCGTGCTTATCCATTGGTATTTATTGGGTCAAGGACTGTAGTCTGTCATCAGAGGTTAACTTCCTCCATGTCTATAACCTATAAAATCTTGCCTAAACTCTATTCTGTGACGGGCCCTTTCATTGCACTGTGTAACTGCACGACAAGTTAAGCTACAGGGTTTCCTATCACTAGGAGAGCCAGCACCTTAATTCCATCTCTGCCTGAAGTGCAACTTTTCCCTCTATTTCCATATCCTGTATCTTCTCTACAAATAAGCCATTGCAAGAAAGACGATCATCTTCTGTAACAGTTTATAACCGCTCCGAATCGGTCATGTTTGTACAGCTGTTCAAAACCAGCAACCATTAGCTGTTTAGGCTCAATATATGACTTAAGCACTCATGATTTTTGCACTGAATTATATAGATTATAAAAAAATGAAAATAGCTTTGCAATCACTTAGGTTGAAAACAAAGAAAAATTGTTACACTGTTAACAAAGTGTCACTTTTCTCTGAAGATTTAAGAAGCTGGAGCTACCCTTGCCAGTATTTCTACAACCATAAATAGCTGAGGAGGAAAAACTGCACTTTCAAAAGCAGTTCTGCTTAATTTAGGTATTGAGGAGTGGGGCAGGGCAGGGGGACACGGACAATCTTACCCTTCTCTGAACTGTTCCTTCAAGTTTCTCCATTTCTCCAAGAATAGCAGAAAGAAAAGACGACTTTTCAGATCCAACCAGTCCCACAACAGCAACTAAAGAGCCTTCAGGAATGCTGACACTCAAGCTGGAAATATTGAGGAAGACAAATTAGTTATGCTCTTTGTAAATACACCATTATGTATGGGTTGTGGTCACTGTAAGAAAGAAATACTCTATTTTACCCTCAGAATGATGAGAAATTAGTTCTTAAGTTTGCACGTCTTTTGACTATGTACTGTTCAGAAACTTGCAATAATGACTTTAAATATAAATTTATTTGTCTGCAAGTTAAGAGGTTGTGCTTTCATCTGGTCACAATAAAATCAAATGGGAGTCTAACCAATAGTCAACCAGTGGTCTTACTGTATTCTTCTCAGGGCTGTGGTTCACGTTCCATCTTACTCTGACAATCAACTCCCAGACTTCTCATGTAGCATCTGCTGTAGCCAATGTGTGATTCCTCTTAAGGAAAAAAATAACTGTTCGGGTAAATAAAAGCTGCCCTTCATCATTTGCATATTTTGCTGTCAAAATAAGTACAATAAACTTTAGCATACTAGGAGAGCCACTTGCTGTATCTGTACTGTATGCTATCTAGATCTAAGTGTGTTCTGATTTGAAGGCCCTATGCTTCAGAGTGGAGGTTGGAGCACAAATGAGGTAGAGAAAGACTCTACCCAGAGACTATACCAGACTTTAATTAATTCTGTATATGACGCTGAAGGCAGCTCATCTGGATACTATATTGCAGGCTATGGTGGCTGAGATGTGGACGCTCAATGCCATGTTGTGGCAAGTGATCCCCCCAGCCCTCAGAGGAATAGAGCAGACAGTGTGGTGAGAGGGTTAAACTGGGTGGGTTGTAACCTCTTCAGCAAAATTTAACAGCTGTTAGAGCTTATCAAATAGGTTCGTCATTCCACTCCAGAATCCATTTCCTTACCAACCCTCCAATGTGTTCACTGCGTAGCAGTTTAAGCATAGCTGAATTTACACCTAAGAAATACCTTCTTAGGAAACGACAAACAAAAAGAGGGGTGTTTTCAGGCAAGAGAGTCCACTGTGAGAAAAGCAAACTTTTTGTTTGTTTGCTCTTTCCAAAGGAAGCCACAGACCGATTTTAAGATCAGCATAAAGGCTGCATAAACTACCCCAGCTTACTTGTAGGCAATATAAAATGCTACACTGGCAACAGGGCATCTTGCCAGTTAATGCTCCCCAAAATGCAATTCAGGAAAAACTGATATTGCAGTTAAATCTCCCTTTTGCAAACTGAGGGGAGAGGTGGTAAGAAGGAAAGAAGGCATGAAGAAGGCATGAAGAAGGCATGAAGAAGGCATGAAGAAGGCAGGAGAGCACTGGCTTCCCATAGCACTTACACAGTGCTATGTTGGGGAACATGCACTTTTATGTGGTTCTTCTTGGAGCATCAGGCAGACCAGGTCAGATTTGACTTTCCAGAGCACACTGATCACACGGGATACTCTGGAAACGGTAATTGATGTTCTTTTTGGTATGTAATATCATGAACTAGTCTGAATCAGGATACATTAAACCTGAACAAAATCTCTATAGACATCACATTCTGCCAAAGGAGCTCATAAAGATAAGTACAAAATACTTACTTTTTTAAGAATAATTTTTGGCCACTTTTTTCCCAGCGGAAAGAAGCACCAATAAACCCAACTGCATGATCTGTTGCAGTAAAGAAAAAAGAGCAGAGTTGTCAACCATCCCCTCAGTTGAGCTTCTTAATGATCATCCATAAAAAATCATGAGCAATTTTATTAATAACTATTGCTTACTTCCACTGTAGTTTGTATTGACATCCTCAGGGTTAAGATCCTCAGCACACAGAAAATCCTCTAAACGGCTCAGAGAAACTTTGGTCTGCCAGACGAACATACATATCTAATATTTATAACATACCTGTGCTCTCTAAATTTTTAAATAATATTTTATAAGTTCTAGATAATATGGAAAGACATATTCTTTGTCTTATTTGAAGATAGACAAAAAAGGTGTTTAGGTATTTAAAAATTATTTTCCTTAAAGTACTAAACAATCTAAAGTCATAAATAAGTGTATTTTTTTCCTGAGGATCTACTGCTTGGTAGTTACAAAGTAACAGAGCATGCTTGACATACCCAATGTTAGAAGATATAGTTCATCCTTGAATGTCTGGTTCCTCTGACTCAGTTTATTTTCATAAATCTGTGATGAAAACACTTTAGCTTTTTTTTTTTTTAAAGAACTAGTGCACAGTAATTCTCTCTTCATATAATGGAGAAAGACATTTTACTGTGAGTGCATCATGAGATGTCCATCACTGTGCTGTGACAAAGTGAGATGAACTTACGCTTGTGCTAATTTTTAAGCTCTCAGAGGTAAACCTTAGGAAAAGACAAGGTTTAGACAGCTGATTTTACAGTATGCTAACCGTAAATGAAATCAAACCAGGATGAGTAGCTGCTCACAGTGGTCTCCTTCCTTACAAACAGCTGAGTTGTGTACAAGCTGTGACAGAGTACATTAATGAGCAGCTCATATAATATACCCATAATAGAGTCTTAAAAGCTAGAAGTTCCCAACTCATATGGTAACCCTACTGACGTACTATTAGGACCGAAGGTTGCTGATACGGTATCCCCAGCAGCTCTACTCCTTTTTTCTCTACTTCCTTCAGTGGTGACTTGAGAAAAACAGTATTGTAGAGTGCACAACGGGTCTCCCCTACTTGGTACCAAGGGCTCCAATACATAACAATGGCTGAGTGATTTAAACATGTGCAGCCCAAATTGTTCACACTTTGTCTTCGGTGGACTATGAAGAAGAGAAGTTGAGAGAGTAGGAGCAGAAGTTGAGTCTAGTCCACTGAAGGAAGAAAAGCGAGAAACAGAAACTCAGTCACAATTAACTGTGCTACTCAATTTTCATTCTACTTAAAAGACTGAGAGATATCCTTTAAACAGCCTTCATGCTTCTCATTCCATAAAAATACAGTTTTATCTCAATAAAATGTAACTTAAAATAATTAAATGACTTAATCATTCCTAGAAATAGATGAAACATGACAGAGTATAAACATCAGCCTTTATAGCACTTGTTCATAATATGTTTACCCAGGCTACAGCAGAGATCACGGATGGTAAATCAAACAAAGACAGTCGCAAATATTAAATAAATAGATGTAAAAACTTTAGTTGCTGTTAAAACATTCCCTTTGTCCAGATGAAAAAAGACTCCAAATGTAGCCAATGAGACCTTTTAAATAAAAAAATGAAAAAGATATATCCAGAAGCAAAATGACATTATAACTACAATTTATACACAGATACTATTTTTGTTTGCATTTGAAAGATGTAGGATCCCATTTCTGCTTATGTATAAATAGGGACTCTAACTGCTGCACATGGAAATTACTGCATAGCTGCAATACTGAGTGCAGGAATACTATAATTTTAGTGAGCAAAAAACACAGCTACTGTGTTTGACCCAACCAGGTACTATATGAAATAACTTTCCCATCTCAGGAATTGATTTCTTCATTTTGAAAACACCCAAACATGGTGTTGCTTTTTTTTTTTTCCTTTTTTCTTGCTATTGCTATGCTATTGGACATAAAATAGAATTAATTACTGCAGGTATTTTTATTTTGATCACTTGGAATTTTTTTCAAAAATCTAGTCAGTAGTCATCAGAGAATAAGCTGGTCTCTTACACAACAGATACGCAAGCCTTCAGAATTACCCAGAAAAGCCTAAATTTAACAACTTGTCCTATGGGGTCTCTACAGGGGCACGATCACCTCCCTACTCC